CCCCCCCCCCCCCCGAGCGGTAAACCTATCCTATTGCAAGTGTAATATTTTTTCAGGTTGTCTTAACAGTTCTCTAGCAGCAATTTGCACACCTGCCTGGAGGGAGTGACCCTTTGAGAGGTAAGTGTCTTGCTCTTTTCCGAGTTGACTTTTGCCTCGGAGTCCTCGAGTCCTCGTGTGAAAGCACTCACATGAAAATATGTTTCACCTGCACTTTTATTTTCGTGCAAAACAAACTCATTTTCAAAAGAAAAGTTTTGCACGAGGAGCTCGTTCTGAAAAAACAGGCAAACGGCAACTCGAAGGTGGTCTATTCTAGTGCACTAGCCAAGAGGCCCCTCGCCTCCATTAGTAGGCGCGCATACGAACACCTGAAGGTAATTTGTACACTAAGATAACGTTGTGTGAGCTGTTATTTCTTCTTCTGCTATTACGCTGGTCCCTTACGCCATGCATTCCGCATTCTGATTGGGACACTTTCTGCAAAGTACGTTCCTCAGCCTTGCCAACAACAGAGGAGGGAGGGAGGAGGAGAGGGTAAGGGCGTGAAAGGGGCTACACGGATAGGGGTAGGGAAAGACACTTTCTTTCCTCCCCATTCCCCACTAAGGTATGAGGTAGCTTATAAGTAATTTCCAATGCGTGCATGAAAATCTAATGGAGGCCCAGTTGGAAAAATTAATGGTGCACGTGATATTAAGAACAGATTCTCCAGGATATCGCATACGAAAATTGTAAGTTTTTGAAATTAAAATTTACGGGATACGGGATAATTAGACCAAAAATTAACGGGATATGGGGTACTCATAACCCCCTCNCCCCCCCCTTCTAATGAAGTCTCATCATACCGTGTTGTCTCTCGCCGATCCCTCGGATATAACAAGTATGCAAGACACAGCCACTGCCGCACAGAGGTTCAGTAGAACTTTAGATCTTGGGCTCTTTACCGCTCTCCAGAAGAAAAGAGTGACAGCTATAGTAATGATCACAGCGAGGAGAGAAATGGAACAGCCCACTATTGAAATGATTTCCAAAGCTTTCTTGTCAGCTTCACCTATCTGGGAATTAAGAAAAAGAGATAGCTTCTCCAGCGTGGAAAGTACGTAGAAGGACAGTCTATTTCAATGGTTTCGTTTCTTAGTGGGAACAAAAATTTAGATAACAGTATTACGAGGGCTTAACGTGTTCACTTTCTATTTCCAAACGCAAACCAACTCTTCTGGGAGCGATGTCAGGGGAAAAGAAGAACTCAGGAACAAAATCTTTTATGTCTCTCGCTCCCCTAGTTTCCTCTGAAACCCTCTTCGATCTCTGCTTTATTCATTTTTCCTCAGCTCTGAAATATAGTGGTTCGAGCAGCCTGCGAGAAGCCCGCTCCCCTTCGTCACCAGACCGCTCTTGACTCGCTCCGTTCGCCCTAGACCACACCCGGCTAGCTCGCCCTAAAACCCAACCGGGAGCCTGTTCGCAGTTTTGGGATCACACGCGCGAACAGTGAAGCTACGAAAACGAGCCATTGAGTGAAGCGACCAATCTCCATATGCGCCGTTCGCGCGTGTAGTCTAAAACGTGCGCGTGCGTGTGTAATAATATTGCTCGAGAGGAAATGTGTACGAAATTCACTTACAGATGAGCCGTGCGGATCCATAAGTGAGGCAAAGGTGGTCAGGTGATTACATTCGCAAGTTGTCTTGTTGATGTCAGATTCGCTGGGCACCAGGCTGCAGCCGAGGGTCTCCCATATCAATGATTCTCCGGGTCGCCAGTAAACGCACAGTCCCTCAGGTGTTACTCCGACCGGAACATTCACCTTGAAAAGAACATTTCTTGTTCATTCCGGCCCAAACTCGATGGAGATATCAATTCTTCTTGCTAATTAACATATATTTCGCTTAAGTTAAGTTTTGAGAATTTGGACGTACATCAAGGCAGTAGACCCTTGATGAGTTTCGTCATTCCCATCAACACTCTATCCAAAAATGTTTGGAATTCTAGGAGAAGAAAACAAATGCTCATCACTATTCGGGTTCTGTGACACCGGCACTCTCGAAAATTCTGCAGAAACACGCTCGGCAGGAAGGAAAAAGTTAATAAACCTTACCAAATCTTGATTTACATTTCGTAATCTCATTCTCTTTCAAAGTAAAGATTCTGTTGTGTTCCAATAACTGGTAGGAAGATTTAAACAGAGTAACAGTTTCGAAAAATTAATAATGATTCAACTTCAATACCCTTTTGTTGAGAAGAACAATCTTGACTGGGTTGTTTAACACGGCTGGGGGCCTGGGATCAACTGTAGAAGACACTATTGTTGTATTGGCAGGAGGTGCAAGGTCGCTGTCTTCGTCATTTTCTTCGTTAAGCGTTAAAACGTCGTTTAACGTGAGATAAACCACGGTTATGACGCGAGAATCTTGAGATGCTGTGAAAGCTTCAGCTGGCAAGCGGATGGAACTTTGATTGTCCGTCACAGTCAAGCCTTCAACTCTTAACTGAAAAGCAAAAGAACAGAATTAACATATTGGATTTTTTGGCGCCATATGACGGATATCGTGGACTAGGAAAGAAGAGAAAGTTGTCTACAGTTCCACTAGGTAAGGCCAGTGACCTATGCAGCCGAAGCGACCAGGAGTATTTCTACTCTCCCTTGGATGGGATGCTAGTCCATCGCACCAGTGAATTTAACGCTGAAGGTAACGCCGGGAAGAGGAAAGACGACCCCACTCCGCCGACTAAGCACGTTATATTACAACGTCCAGCAGCGTGAACGGGTTAACTGTTATCGTTATCTCTACCGCGTTATAATTATAACTTGATGCAACAGTGTAAATCATCAGTGTTTTCCCGAGCTGGCGGGCCACTAGGCGCATTATGTTTACTTTAACAAACAGATTCCATTTTGCCGTGCGTCTGTTCAATAATAGATCACAGATGACGTCAAAACGCGGTAAGAACAAAAAGGTCGCACACGAGGCGATAGCCGAGTGCGTCACTGATGTTCTTAACACATTTTGATGTCATCTGTGGTCTATTACTGAACAGACACACGGCAACATGGAATCTATTTGGTTTATCAGAAGCATATCTTCTGATTTTATACAACAAAGAAACAAAAACATGCTAGAGACTTCATCTATACGTCTAGCTATTCTCCAGTAGTCATAAGTAACAACCAGTCAAATGCGAGAATAATTAGACTTATTATATAACAAAGCTGTTCGTACCAGACTGCTTTCAAGTGCCCGGTCAATCCTCATAACGAGGTTCTTTGTTTGAACCACCTTTGAGACTGTCGATCCATTGTATGTGGCAGCTACTCCCAGACCATAATTATCAATTGCTTTGACCAAAAGTCGACTCTGACCTTGGACTAACTGCAAGTTAACCATGGCAATGATCAACATGCTATCAAATAGAAAAGAGCTTTGAAGAATTCGTTCAGTAACTGCACTTTCTCTGCGTTTTCTATCGAGTTTCAGCACAAGCTAGTTGCTGGCTGTGAACAAACCTACTGACCATCTAATTTGCCAAACAGGCACCTAGAAAGCTCTCGGAGAGTACACGGTTTCTCAGGTATCGTGGTTAAACATTTTGTGTAGCCAAAATAGTTATTAAAACTGGTCTCTGAATTTTCTATGTTTAACTACCCGCTATAGGTTTATAACGATTTGTTTCGTTGACTAGTTATAGGAACCTCGAACTTGCAGGAGAGACGCTTACATGAAGAAGAAATATCATGCTTCAGTGCATTAAACAAACGCAATCATTGCTGCTTCCTGTGTTTATTTTGGTCCCGGGAGGACATGACTTCCACTTTAAAAGTAAACATTTGGCAACGGTTACAAATTTGCTAATGTTGATGCGGAAAACAAATTACGTTCCTTGTCAACAAAATACCCAACGACAAGCGAGAGTGAAAAACATACCCTATTTTCAGACCAAAACGGTCAAAATCTATACTTTTTTCAGACCAAAACTGTACAAAAACCATTCCCTTTGGGGCCGCATATACCTATATAGCCTATATAAGGGACTAGCCCCCCGGGATTTTGGTGCCCAAAAAGAAAACTCGACAAGCAGATATTATCGACAGTGATACTTACTTGATCGAGTTCTTGCCAAGTGATGCGATTTGTTGGTTCCAACAAATTACTGGACACTTCAGCGAAATTTTCCACATCTTCCTCGGTGCTCACGTTGCCTTGTTTAGTATTGAAGTCGGCCAGTGTAACGAGTATCTCCACGGCTATAACCAAGTCCCCGCCAAAGATCTCTGGTGGCCTTTGCGTGTTGTTTTCCACGGGCTGGGTGAAGCTCACGAGCTGTGAGAGGACTTGCTGGGCGGTGGTGTTTGACTGAAAACCTTGCGTAATTGCCTCGATCTTAAAATGAAAAGCCGAAAAATGGGAGTCTTTATGAAACAGGAAAAATGATATAGTAATCGAGATCTTTTGACCCAAAAGAAATGATGAAGTAATTTACATAAAATCCCGCTTGTGGTATCCAGCGCTGTTTTCCCGCCAAAATATGACGCGTCCTGCAAGTTTCCAGCTGAAAACATGGCAGGATAAGTGCTCCAACCGGATGCCGCAAAAACATTTGCAATGTATCGTATCATTTAAAATTTCGCTTACATTTAACAAATAAAGATGCCTAAGCCGTGTATTACACTGTGATAAAACACGACGGGCATTTGAGAACACGAGGGAAATGTAGAAAACACGAGCAGCACGCGAGTGTTTTCTACATTTCTCGAGTGCTCTCAAATGTACGGAGTGTTTTACACAGGGTAATACACGGCCTAGGCTTCTTCATTTGCTTTATGATATAGAGGTAATGTGGCGAAAAACCATAAAACACGCTTTCTCTATGTTTTATACTCCGATAAAACATAGGTTTTTGACCAATCAGAGCGCGCCCAGGGTCCTATCTCTATTATAATATACTGTAATTTACCCCTTCTCCCTGCCCCCTACCAATAACTACGCATGATTTACGCAGCGAAACACTGTTCACAATATACTGCTTAAATTGAACCTTAAGTCCTCTCAGTTCTGTAACTGTTATCCACAATGGAGCGGTTTTCATTCGAGTGTGGAAAGTAATCATTACTTTGGTTTTGGTTTTACTATGGTTGGAGATTGGTTGAGTAGTCTAATTAGTATGTTATAGGTTTGGTTTTGGTTTTGCGACACTCAATTGATAACCGCTCTACTGCAATCTAATGCAGACTCGTCGACAAATACACTTTCAATTTGGGTCTTAAATGATGCGAAACACTTATCACCCTTAAGCCAACTGGAGGTATTGCAACAAATACTCACCTCGTCCCCAAGTGCGATAAATTCAGGTGAGCTACAGCTTACAAAGTTGGTTTCCTTCCACGTTACCTCCGCAGAACAATCACGCGAAGCGGTTCCTGCAAAGCATTTAAAACATTATACTCCGTTAAGATAACGAGTCCACTACGATGAAGTTTCTGTTCGTCTTTAAGGAGATAGGTCCCACGTTTTTGGTCAAACTTGTCACGCTATCTACGCTTTTTAGACAATTTTTCACTCTACGCAATTTATTTAGGTGTACAACTGGAGTGATTTAAAACTACCAGAAAAGATATTAATATAAAGAGCTTAGGTAACCAAAAGACTGAAACAATTTCCAAAAAGTATGACTTTGTTTTCATCGGTCCGGCAGAATTCAACAAAGCAATTATCTTGGAATACTAATCCCAAATAAAAATCTTGTGAATGTGAAGCCATTTTTTTTTTGAACAAGTGTTAGCGAGCTTGCTGCATAGCGATACCACGTATGTATAAAACATACGAAGCGCATGTTCTTGTTCGACTTACCGCTGGCTCCATTCGGACACGGTTTTACATCCGTTCCTCCAGCAGCCGTGGGTGACCAGAGCACGCCATCTAGCAGCTCCTCTGGACACTTTGGTGCCTCTGGGAAATATATCATTAAATGGTTAGTCATGCAATATTGCAGGTGAATATTGGCCTAAAATGGCGTACAGTTATCCGTCTTTAAAGGGGTGAAAGCTTCACTTGTCTAGTATTTCGCATCTTGTTCCTAGGCCGCGCTTACTAACAGACATGAAAGGCTCTGGGGACGAAAATGTGATATTTAGACCATATGGGTCCAAATCTGCATTCTTTTTTGTTCTTTTTCATTTTCAGTTAAAATGGTTCTTGTGTGCGTGTTCAGTAATACTTCCCCTTTCACTTAATTTAGCTTGTGAAAAGAAATTACAATATGACTTTCTTTCGTAATTAAATGACCTCACCTGGTTTGATAATGATCAACTCAGCCACCTCGCTCCTTGACAACACATTTTGTTGAAAGGACATCTCGCACACAAATTTCCTCACGTGACTCTCCCTTCCCCCAGGAATTTGCAGATTTGCTGCTGTGTAGTTCACTTCCTGATGACGTATTTCACTTTCTTTGTTCGTCACTTCCACTAGAAAGATGCTTGCTCCTTTCCTAAATCCGCTGACCACGCCACAGGTAAACGTTGCTTCGTCACCTTTAGCAAAATTTTAATGACAATTAACAATTGACTTTCAGCTTATTGTTTTACAATGCCACCGATTTTGTACCCTCTCTCGTTGCGCTATAACTATCAGACTTTTCGTCTAATTCTNATATCAGTGAACAAATGTGTTCTGCCTTCAGGTTCATTTTGATGCAAATTAAATTCATTTTCATATAAAAGGTTCTGAGTCGTTTTGAAACAGAGGCACAAGGTAACTCGTTTTCATTCGATCTAGTTAAGATGTCCCAGGGACTTTTGTCTCGAACTGTAGTTAGAGTTACAGCGCGTGCGTCGCGAAGCACTGTAATGAAATTTAAGGGGTTTGGAAATGTGATGAACCACTCTCGATTTTGAAAACTTCTGTTAGCGTACTTTGCTTGACAGATATAGGCGCCCTCGTCTTCCGCCATCACGTCTCTCACGCTCAATCGTGAACGACGAACTCGCGTCTCGACTTTTGTGCGGTGGCTCAGACCAATCTCTTTACCCGCTTTAAACCACGTGATGTTCAGGTCGTCCGGCCCACCAATCACAGTGCAGCTTATAACAAATTTGCCACCAACGTTCAGAAGTAAACGGGATGCATTCAGAATGACGCCTTGAATTTCTAAAGAGAAAGAGATGCGCTTGTAAGAAGGGTTGATCATGCCTAAAAACAGTAAACAATCTGCGACAAGGCTGGATTTAAGGGGTGAACCATTTGACTTTTGAGGGTGACGGGGTGATTTGATATAGGCATGATTTTTTTTAACCTACTCATGCACAGTGGGAATTTTTTCTGAGGTTTTGTGTATGCTTGATATTTCTTTTTCTGTGCAACATGCTTTTCTTCGACACACTGAATGTGCGAGAAATTATTTTTCGGCAGTGGTCGTGTGTGCACGATTGTTTTCTTTTTGGTACAAATGTGCTTGTGGGATATTTTTTCAAAATCAACCCCCCCCCCCCCCCCCCCCC